GTGGAGCAAGCATCGTGCATTCCTTCACTGTCTATGTTGGCGCATCAGAAGTTCGATGTGGAACTTCAACTACGAGCTTTGGACCTTGAGAAAAAGCACATGGCTGAGGAAGAGAACTTTCTTGTCACAAAGACAGTCACTGCAGAGCAAGTGTACAATGAGTGGAACGACTGGAAAGAGGCCATGATGAGTGAGTATCGGTCCATTGTGGAGGAGAAACGGGCAGTGCGCCAAGTTTCACGAGGTGAAGCTCAACAGTGGGCTTGTGATGGAGGAGTCAAGTATGAGGAGCTGCCGAGCAAGGTGGTCTTCACGAGAAAGATGGGTGGCAAGAGGAAAGTGAGAGCATGCATCTGTGGAAACTTTGAGGATGAGGTGGCCACAGCGACCTATGCTGGAGGTTGTGATGCATCACAAATCCGATGCGTCGCTCGTCATGCGGCATTGAAGCAATGGGCAATCTTCACCACAGATATAAAATGTGCTTTCCTAAACGCTGAAAGGAAAGATCGATCGAAACTCATCGCCATGACCATCCCCTCCATCTATGTCAAGCTTGGTGTGGCTACATCTCAAGATGTGTGGTTGGTTGATGCAGCTATGTACGGCTTAGTCTCCAGCCCACGTGATTGGGCTGACCATCGGGATCAGGTGATTCCAACTATGACCTGGCTGAGAGAAGAAGCCGGCAAGCGTTGGAAGGGTAGCTTTCAAAGAGCGGCTGATCAACACTTGTGGCATTTGAGCGAGAGGTGTCAGGAAACGGGGGAGGAAAAAGATCGTGGCATCATGACGATTTACGTCGACGATGTTTTGCTGGCTGCTGATGAGAAGACAGCTGAGTGTGCTTTACAGGCAACTGCGGCGGTTTGGGAATGTGCTCCAGCTGAACGGGCCACTTTGCAATCATCAGTGTCTTTTTGTGGCTTTGAGATTCAGCAGAACGAGGATCTGCATGGAGGTGGTTTCAGACTTCATCAACATAGCTATGAGGAGGAGTTGGCAAAGAAATGGAATGTGACTGAAGTCCGACGTCAGTTAGACTTCAAGTTGCCCACTCCTGAAGAAGAAGCTGAGGTTCAGCGCTCGGAAGATGCAGAGTTGGTGAAGAAGGCCCAGGCATGCACGGGTGCCTTGCTATGGCTTGCCACAAGAACCAGACCAGAGATCTCAGTGGGGGTCGCAGCTATGTCGAGGCTGTGCACGAAGATGCCTGAACTTACCATATCCATTGGCAACAAGATCATTGCCTACCTTCAAAGGCCCACGTTGGGTTTGATCTATGCAGCGACTGTTGGTCCGGTTCATGGTGCACGAGATCAACTTGATCTGCCTAGGTGTGAACGCACAGTTGAGGCTTTCTCAGACATCTCCTATGCTTCAACAAAGGGCTATCGATCAGTCCAAGGCCAAGTGTATTTCTATGCTGGCGCTCCAGTCATGTGGAACACCAACAGACAGCCATTTCCAACACAGTCCACGGCGGAGAGCGAGCTTGTTGGTCTCTGCGAAGCTTTGGTGGGTGGAAGGGCCACAGCTAGTTTGGTAGCTGCAGTTCGGAAAGAATCGGAAGAGGTGCTCATCAAAAGACTTTGGGGAGACAATGCAGCAGCAATCAGCTTGGCAACGGGAGAAGGTCAGGGAAGCTGGCGAACGAGACATCTTCGCATCAGAGCGGCGATTTTGAGATCAGCACTCTGGCAAAATGAATGGCATCTTGGTCACCTGAAGGGGCGTGAGCTTGTGGCGGACTCCTTCACCAAGATCGTTGATGGTGCCTCTTTTGAACGAGTGTTGCAAGATCTTTGCGTTGTGGCTGATGCAAAGAAGTCCAAAAGTGAGATCATGGGAGGAAGTGACAAAGCTAGAGCGAAGATCGCTATGCTGGTGGGTGCTACGATGCTCTCTGGCGCAGCGGCAACGGAGGAGGATGAGGAGAACGAAGAGCAGTCCTGGTTTTGGACCATTGGCTTAATCCTGATGAGCGTGGGGGCAGTCTACATTTTTAGCACGATCGTCCGAAGCGGCATCTGGCTTCATAATCGACTGCTGGGATCATCGGGCAGCTATGATGGAGATGGAATCAAAGGGCAAGCTGAATCTCCTCAACTTAGGATGTTGCAGCATAGCAGTGGAGAAGAAACAGCAGAGAGGCGTGGTAGAATCAATCAACAGCGGGCCACGTATGCTTCGCCGGTGAACATGTCAGAGATTCAAGAGATGGTGGCGCAAAGCCATGCGGCTCAACATGATCCACACAACAAGATGCATGGTCGTGACGTGGCAAACTGGTCTTCCAGTGAGGATGACCACAAGCCTCAGCGACCTGTGAAGCTTCACACAAGTGATCAACTTCCAAACGGCGAAAGAAGAAGGGAAAAGGCGGCAGAGCCAAACAAGATGATGATTTTGATGAGGCTGCGATTGAACGGAGTTGGCAGTCCATGCTTGGAACGACCAGGAATCTTTTTGCAGCTTCAACGTTGACAAGAGGGCCACAGTCGGGCTATAGCAGTGCGGCAAAAGGATCGTCGTCAAAGGGCATGGGGTCTAGAGCGGGATCCAACAGAGCTGAGGTTGAACAGACTGCGTCATCATCATCATCACAGCAGGTGTCTTCACGATCGGGCCTCAGCAGTGCCGGGCAGAGCGGTGTTGCCGGGCAGAGTGGGCAAAGTGGGGACGCCGAGCAGAGTGGTGCTGCTTCTGCGGCGGCTGGCTCTATTTCCTCTAGCTCGAGGACACGATCGGGCACCAGCAGTGCGGCTGCAGCTGAACATGAGCGGGGCAGCAGTGTCTCACATCAAAATTCCTGGAACGAATTCCAGAAGAGTTATAGCGGTAGGGGCTGGGGCTCTGATCGCATGCGTGCCGAATATTGGCACTACAGGGCCACTGGCAAGAAACCTTTGTAGGGCACATAGAATGTACAAACATGCCTTGAGCCTACATTGAGTTTTTTCTCCCGAAAAAAGGGGGAGTATGAAAGGCCAAACACTGGCTATGATCAAGTGTAGTATCTGAATCTTATCTGCACAGGTCATCATTCCAACATTTACCTGCCGACGTAGGCATTTTGTATCGAGATTGCAGAAAAGTGCCCTCAGCATTTGCGAGACCATAAATATTATATATACAATGATATATTACGTATTTATGTATGTGTATATATATATTATAATTTAATTATATATATATAATTATATATATATAATGATATAATTATACATATATATAATTATATCATTAGATATATAATTATAATTATATATATACACTACCTATTGTCCTATTCAAAAAAACAAAATTTCCAATGCAAAATGGTTCAATGGCAGGACTGGGTCCTCGCACCGCACCAGTGTGACCATCCAGCGTCTGCAGGCAACGTCCCTGGTCCCAAAAGCGAATGCCTCGCGGCACTTCGCCGGCGAAGCTACAGGTAACCCCTCCAGTTTTGCTGTATACAGCTGGTAGAAAACCAATAAACGGTAGAAAACCATATATGGTTCCGTAACTTCAACAGAAGTTCCGTAACTCGATTTATAAACTTCATAATTTCAAGTCAACTTAGTTAACTTACGCGCACCGTCCTTTTTTGTGATTTCTTGATAAGGTTTGATAAGGTTTGTATAATTCGTTACGTTATTCACATAGGCCGCCTACAAAGCTGGGATGTTATTGGATGATACTGGTATGGGTCAAAAACTCTAAAAAACACTGGATGCTACGTTGCCATATGATGCTAAATGAAGAGGGGATCAACATCGATTTATACTTTTGAGTCTATAGCACTATTTATGAAGTGAACACATTTGAAAACGAGAAAACCAGAGTTCTGATCCATAGCAACAGAACCATCAAAACAGCCATATCCATGATTGCGGTTGGACAGTCACACTCATGATGGCGGCTGGAACATGAACAGTTGCGATTGGTTGTAATAGTTGCTTGATATGGAGGGATAAGGCCATAGTATGCCATCGGGGTGTGCTTTAGGGTGGAGCCAAAATTTCGATTTGGAGAAGAAACATGATGACCATTCATAATTGGACTTTTGAGGTACAGTACCAAACATCCGCCGCCCGTATTTTGATTTTTGTTGGCTAATGTCATGATGATGGAGAGTAAGCATCCACTCGCAAGCGGCTACATCCGCAGATATAGGTTTAAGTTGAATACCAATCTTACAAGAATGGCCAATATCCGGTGCATCCCATGATGGATGTGCTGCCATAGCTACATCTCTATGCTTGTTTGATTTTTTCAAACTAGTGTAACAACATATTAGGTTGGCTACATACCCAAATGTTTCAAGCCACAGGTCTCCCCAGATTGCGATTTATGAAAAATACCCCCCAGTTTTAACAGAAATTGACATGGCATAACATGGCCATATCCAACAGAAGAATCATCTTCCAAGCCCAATTCATTCTAGGGGCTGCATGTATTGGTATGTTGAAGGTGAAACATGTCCAAAGAACTGAGGGTGAAGAGATAACGAAACAACATTTGCAGGTTTCGTTACAAGAGGCTGTGTCTGAAAATGGTGGATATCCAAAGAAGGTGATGCTGATGATGGAGAAACTTGTAGAAAATTACTGTATTATTAACAATCTTTACCCATTTTTGACAAACCCAATTGTTACTGACTTATTGAAACGGCGTACCGGCAATTGTTGATCCTGCTTCAAAACAACTACGTATAAGAATGAATAAAAATCAAAACACATTTCCTGATGTTTGCTCGTTGTTGGTTCGCCCAACGATGTTTCAAATCGCGTTTTGTTCAGAATTGAATCCCAGCCTTTCCATTCTTCAAATCTTAATTCTTGTCAGCTTAAACCGTTTCCGACCCCCTCGATTTCTGCAGTGTGCTGGTTTGGACAAAACACATCGTGGACTTTTACCACAACAATATCAGCAAATAACAAAGAATCATCAAAAATCATCAAAAATCATCAAACATCATCAAATATCAAAAAAAAATCATCAAAAATCATTCAGTGTTCCATAGTTTTTTCTCCTCCATCCACATGTTTTTTTGTTCCAGCGCCTCCATCCTCCGATCCAGACAGCAGCCCGCTGCGCTTCTTTTCCGGCTCCTTTTCGTCGGGCTCGGGCTCGACAAGGGGTGCCTAGCGCGGGGCAAAGCTGTTTCTCGTAGTGAAGAATCCCTACATTACAAAGAACCTGTCAACACTATAGTCACTACAATTAGCTATAATAGGTCATAGTTAATCTAAGATATGATACGATATACACGATCATATAGATGGTTATCTCATGATATCGCTATGGTATATCCCTTGCTGCATCTCAGGAAAGAGTTATAGCCCACGAATTCCGCGAACCGCTAATCTAAGTGGATACCAAAAAATCAGTGGTTTCAGCCGGGCATTGCAAATGTTGAATTGGATTAAGATTGGGATTTTTCAGCAGGTATCAGGTAGATGGGAATGTCAGTACATGTTCCCACAATTCTTATGGGATCTCATCTCATGGCATTTCGGCAGTTCTATCATGTTTTATCAACCCATAGAGAAATTGAGCAACCAACATGGGACGTTAAAAAGAGCGAAATTTCACAAAATTGCTCAGTTGGGATACAACCAGAATGGATTAGCATGGTTTATAAAACAAGGCTGACTTATTTCTATAATATGGAACAGTTGCATGGCTGACAACATAAACCATCTAAAGATATCTAAAGTTTCTGCAGTTTTGTTTTAGTAGGAACACATGAAATCAACAATTCAACAGATTTTGGAATTTCAATGTGGACCAACAACAGAGTAGTCATAAAATGATTCCATCTTCCGTGTGGGTCAACAATGTTGATCACCCAAAAATCCAATATTTTGTATGCAATGTCAACCTGTTGGGATTGACTAGTGACTATAGGGAAATTGGATGTTCCAACAAGATCTAGTTAAATGAAAACAATGTGCTGTTCTCTTCCCAAAAACGTCAAAAACCTTCGTTTACATGATGTACCATCTGGTTATGACTAACATAGCCATGGAAAGTCACCATTTTTAAATTCGGTAAACCATCTATTTCTATGGACCATCTATACCATGGCAAACTGTTAGTCATAACCAGAGGCTACCACCAAAGAAATCAACTTAAAAACTAGAAAAACAGTACATAAAACAGAATCAGTTCACTCATGCCATGGCAACATCCAAATCATCCAACATTTTTTTTCGGGTTTTTTCGACTGCACCTCCAAGAAACAGAAAACGTTTGGATCGTCCCCAAAGGATCCATATATTCTATACAACAACAATACACCCCAATCTCTATCCACATGGGATATTAATTATTATAATATATATTTTAATCTATTATTTGAAAATACCCCATAATATAAAATAATATATCACAATATCAGAATATCATAATATATGTCATTATATGTCATATATATAATCTATTAATATCCCCGTTATTTCACCATTATATCCACACCCTCACAATGTCCTCGATGTTTGACCCATTCAATTTCATTGATGTTTATGTAGATGGCATTGTTAAAATCCCACTGTGTTGTTGGCATTTTTTTGCTCAAATCCCGGCCTCTATATTGAATTGCCATACTTTGACGACTAATTAATTAGGATTTGTTCGTTTGTTAAAATTTGAGTTTGCTTTCGCCAATATATATATTTTCATGGTTACAATCAATTAAAGTTCGTTCAATGAAGTCCATTTAGTCTCCATTTCTCCATATTGTATGCTGATGTGTGCTGATGTGTGCTGATGTGCGCTGATGGTATGCTGTTTAAACTCCGATGACTTTCCGCATTTTTCTCGAAATGTCCCGGCCTCTGCTTCCAGGCCTTCCTCTTCCGCATTCGCGGGAGCCGCGTCTGGAGCGTCACCAGTCTCCATGTCCTGAGCTGGGGATGGTGGGGGATATGATTTTGGAAATTGGATTCATTGGGTTTTTGGATATTTGGAAGTTTCAAATGTGTCAAAGATCGGTTTGTTGTCTTGGCACTTGGGCACGACTTGGATTCTTTTCTGGATGAATCCCCCATGGCATGCACTGCTTGTCCTCCTCTACCTCGGCTTCCCCCATCGCTTCAGCCTCGCTTCAGGACTCAATGGCGAGTCAGGAGTCCGAGATCGGTGGTTGAGCCACCCCTCTGAAAAATATGAAAGTCAGCTGGGATGATGACATTCCCAATATATGGAAAAAAAACCATGTTCCAAACCACCAACCGCTCATGAACTCTTATGACATACACTGGTAGGACAAAAGTTGCGCTTGTTGAGCTTCCCACAGTGAACATGTTTGGTTTCAGCTTTGTCGTACCCCGGTCGAATTTCCACCCTCCAAAAGCTTTTAATCTTATAGATTTAAAAGCGGGTGATAATTGACCGTCCCACACCTGCCACACGAAATGGACTTGGAAATGTGATCTGCGGTTGACCGAGATGGATGCTTTGTCAAGCTTTCAAGAAGCATAAACTTTGTTCCTCCTGAAGTATTCCACCATCGTAATATACCATACGGGAAATTTGATTATCAAAATCATTCTCGACCAGACTGATGATCGAGAATTGAGATTTATAAATGCTTGAGATATATATATATATATTGAAGAAGACACGGGGACGAGCTGCCAAGGTACGCAACCAGTGGACTTCATTGGTACAAATACAGATATCATCAAATACCGTATCCCGTTTCAACGTGGGAGAATCGAATTGTGGAGTACGAGTGCTACAATAAAACAAAATAGGATCATGGGGAGAGTTCAGTCATCAGTGAAGCGTGTCAAGCATAGTCAAGCCATTGTCAAACCAAAACTTGGAAGAGGTAAGGCATCATATCGATTTACCTATCATATTAATCATATTAGTCATAAGCCCAATAAAACTTATTATTATCATATCTTTGGGCTTAATATTAGCCAGAACCATGAACATATGATTACCTCTCATAAAACTTTAAACCTATCATGTTCAGCTGGTACCGATTTGGGTCACCTTTCAGCTGTGACGGAGGTCAGAGGCACAAGGTGCCCCCACGGTGCCCCCCAGTTATGTCTGTCGGTGTATGAAGCCCAGTAACTCTATTTATTATGGATAACTAGTATCTATATCTTAATTACTATACTATAGACAACTATAACTAGTATCCACATGTATCTGAAAATTACTATACTATAGACAACTAGTATCTACATGTATCTACCATATAGATCCATCTAGTTCACCTAGTTATAAATGATATCAACTTAATTATCGTAACAGGGGGGACCACCAAACGCGACGTGGCCGCAACATGTAGCAACCCTTGGCCTCAGCGGTTGCTTCATGTTTCTCCTTCTTCTGTTTCTTATCTTTATCCTTTGACCTGATCAAAGTACAGGCTGGCCATCTTGGCAAGGTTTTTAGGCTAACGGCTAACTGTCCTGGAACCATACCTTGGTGGATGCAATGCTTAAATAATATATATATATATACATATATATACATATATATATACATATATATATATACATATATATATATATATGTATATATATATATGTATATATATATATATGTATATATATATATGTATATATATATATATGTATGTGTATATTGTTCATTAAGATATATGAAGTAAGATCTGGTAAGAACTCCAAATATCAGTTCTACTGGCTGTCGCAGTGGCATGTCACGATATTACTATAGACATCCATAGACTATACTGCAAAAAATGTGCTTCGATCCCCCACTTTGGCGAGAAGCTTGGCTTGGCGGCTGAGTTTCCCCGACTTCTTTTCCACCTTTTCAACCTTGTCCTTCGGATTCAGCTCGTGATGCGGTGATTTTGTTGGCAACTGGAAACCTGTTTTTTTGTTGAAACATGTTGAAACGCTAGATAGACATTGAACAATGATTAGTTGATATTAGTTGAATGCCCCAAGTATCGCAACCATCTCAAACGGTGGACTGCATAGGAAGTAAGTCACATGTGACACAAATTGCTCAAAACCTGTGCATTCGGTGGACTGCATTCAACACGCTTCAACCCCAACAGTACTTTGTCTTGGTTTCTTTTCGGATTCCGAAGGCGGCCCGGTGGCACCGTGATGCTCCGTGATGCTCCGTGCCCTTGTCCATCCCCATCTCCTTCTTTTCTTTTTTCACTTTCTTGTCCTTCTTCTCTTTTCCTTGTGCACCTGCGAAGGGCACAATAGACGTCAGCGCGCTGCTGGGCCTACCATCAAAAAAGTGAGCAAAAATCACCCGAGAATCAGTAGTCATCCGGATCACAAACGGCAACTGGATGGCTGAATCCAATATCAAACGTGCTTTCCGTGAGTACATTTGATTACATATGTGTAAATCCTCTACTAAACCATCATTTCTTGGTGGTGTTTGCATGTGAAGGGAGGAAGGGATTACAACTGAACTGCCCAAGATTCTGCAAATCGACCAGCCTGGTTTTGGGACCTCCACCTTTTGCTTCTTGGCCGCTGGAGTAGGAGTCTCCTGAGCAACACTACGAGAAAAAGGTCCGGCCCGGCCACACAGGGGCTATGACGGTGACCAACAAAAATTGGAATTTAAGCAGGACAAATCGGGATTTATCAAGCAAACATTTGGATTTCTCAAGCCAAAATGTGGATTTAGCAAGCAAATAAAAGGGATTTATCCTCTAGCTGACTCTAGCTGGTAACCTAGAGCAATGGAAACTCACTATGTGGAACAGGAAAACAAAACAGACCTGACACGTTTCCATTGCCATGTTTGCTTACAAGAAAGGCGGGCATAGGTCAACATGTCATCACATCTAGAACCAACTATGACTGTATGAAATGATAGGGGAGATGAACGAGCAAAAGTGAGGATCAGTTTGTTCCAAATATATCTAGAGGCTCAACATATGACACACTAATTTAGGACTTAACAAATCGGTATTTACGTTCACCAAATCCAAATGTTGAGGCTCAGGCTGTATATTAATTATTATCAATTATTGTAATGTATTTTGTATGTAAAAACCATCCGCAGCGTACCGCTCAAATCTGTAGTTTGGAAAGTGCCAAGTGCCGAGGTGCGGTGCCAATACCATGTTTTTGTCGGTTTCTTGAGGGTTGGTACAAGTTACAAGATGGTACAATTATCTATCTGTAAAGACATGTAAATTCATATACTTCCTAGATCTACCCGCCAAGTCCCAACATGTAAGAAATTTGTGTGTACTCTGAATTGATACAATACATACAGGATATATATCATATACGTATATATATATATATAGATAGATCAAGGTACCCTAGGGTAAACTAACATAGATGTGTAAAATGACACAATTCTGGATGTAATTATTGACACCTATTCCACATGTTGATTTCTCACATCTATGGTTCCACCTTTGCCCCAGAGGTGCGTGCCCCTTGCGCGCCTGGTTGGCTAACTCGGCTTGCACCAGTTCGGTCAGCTCGGACTGGCCATGTTTCCGAGCGGCGTTTTCAAATTCAAGATGGGCCTGAAAATGTGGTACCCTGAGGTAAACATACAAAAACATGTGGCAAACCCATGAAAAAGACCCGTGAAAGAAACTGATCAATGTTGGGTTTTCCAGACCTATGTTAGCTTACAAGAGGGTATACCATTAAAATAGCCATTGAACACTATGATAGACTATGCAACATGGCTGTATGCAAATGTCACATTGATCAACATCAATCAACCATTCATTTTTCGCGCTAAAACATGTTTGAACTCACCCATCAAAAATCCAAATATGGAATTCACCACATGGATCCTTCCGGGCAAAAATAGAAGACCCTCTTGACATAATGGGCATGTAGATGGTGGTAATGTGGTACATGAATCTATAGATAGTGGTATATAATGGTGTAATAGTGGTATATAATAGTGGTATAGAATAATGGACATCTATATGATATAGATGGTGGTAATGTGGTACATAATGCTCATATGCTTATGTATGGCGAATTATGCACCAACATGTTGCCCCCAGATTGCCCAAATGCAGATACACACCAACACAAATCATATGAGATAGGGATACCAATGAATTATATACAATAATGACTAATGACTTACAACCGTGGGTAAAAATATGAAATGACGTTGTATAATGTTGTATCCATTTGCCTTTCAATGATATCACCAGCCATAACCAGCCATCAACAAATAATAGCATGTACCCTCTGGTAAATTAACATAGGCCCTGAACATCACCAATGTGCAGTGGTTTTACTAATCTTCCAACCCCGACTCATGAAAGGGTCGCAATGTTAATTTATTGGAGGGTAATTGTTAGTACCAAACACTATCAAAATGAGTACGGGGTCAAACTCGAGTCAGACTCCGGATACCAGAGCTCTTTCAATCACCAAGTCGAGGCCACTGGACCCCCCAAAAGGGTCACTTAAACACCTCAAAAGGGTCACTTTGAAGAGCTTGGATCATTAGTTTTTTGAACATCACAATTGGTTATCCAGCTCTTGCTGGTGCGTCTCTGCTTTTAAAGGGATAAGGGAAACATCTACACAAAAACCTGTAGAAACTGCTCGTTTCCAAGCTCCCCTGCTAAAAGTCTGAACTTCTAGTGGCTATGAATGAATTACTGTACATTAAATTACCAAAAAATAATCCTCTAAAATAAGTGAGCAGTGTTCAAAACCCCTATTGGATTATTATAATCCCCAATATATTGGCTAGTAAAATCCCCAAACCAATCATCCACCAAGAGGGATTTAGAACACTGCTCAAGTAATACCCTCTGGTTATTTGACATAGCCATGGAAGCCATGGCCCATAGAAATAGATGATTTTCGCTAGAAACCTCCATTTATATCATTTATTTTGGGATTTTCCATATTTTTCCATGGCTATGTTAGTCATAACCAGAGGGTAAACATCGAATCGAATGGGAAGCACCATGAAACTTTGCCCATTGCCCATCGCCCGGCACCTTCCGTTCCGCCAAATCCCCCTGGTTTAAGCCCAGGGCCGTCTCAACGGAAGCGCGCAGCTTCCCTGTCACGGCTTGTCACGGAAGTTGCAACAGAAATGGAGATTGAAGCAGAAAAAATATGGGGACTTTACATGATTTCATATGATTTGATTGTCAGAAAATTATTGAACATTGTGATTTAAAATGAATTCATGTGATTTACCTAGCAAAAAATGGAAAAGTGAAAACTGAACCCCATTGATTCAATACAGCACGTCGGTGTTTAAAGCTATGGTTTCAATATGTTTCACCTCCCCAAAAAGAAACATAAACCCTAATCACCATCTGTGTCTCAAAATTGGGTTCCATTCATTATCCGCATCAAAAATAACCACATGGTGAAATTAATGTCCTCCGCTTTAGAGACATGTGCATCTGGCCGCAGCCTTAGGTGAAAAAAACCATGGTTTCAACACTGTTCAACCCCAAAAAATAAACATCCTGATTCTTAGAGACCTTTTCAACCACCAGTTTGACGTCAGTTAACCCCCAAAAGGGCCACTTAACCACCTCAAGAGGGTCACTTTGAATAACCTGGTTCCAATCAATCCAGATGTTGAATCACAATGTAGCTATGAGTCAAAACCCTGCTACCCAAACAGTACCCTAATTCAGTCATAGCTGGTACAGCTGGTTCTTCCCCCATATGGATCCATTTCATAGCTAACAAACGACTCATCCCCAGAATCGCAACTTCCGCCCAGCTGCGCCCAGCCTATGGTGAAGGTCTTCAGATCGATGCCCACCAGCAACTTCCGCACTTCCGCCCGCAGCTGATCCACGGTGACGTCCGCCATCCAAGGCGCGCGGACCCAAGGCCAGGCTAGGCGTTACGGCGGCGTACGGAACGTGAAGTCTTGTTACGGCACGGGGCATCCAAATCATCCACTCCAAGGGATAGAATAGCAATACAATAGGGGACATTGACATTCATGGCACTTGTGGAAACATACGTGTTTTATATACATACGATATACATACGAGATATCTCCCAAATGATCCAGAAACGGCTGGTTGCCACCGGTTTTTATCTGCAGTTTTTCCAGTTTTTCATCCCACGGGAGTCGATCATTTTGAACCATTGAGGGAACTGTGTCGAGGTGTCAAGTTAGAAAAACATAGCTGGCACAGCACTTGGTTTCACAAGGCAAGCTTTTGCAGACATTAGCGATTCTGATGTCTTTTTTCGATGGCTACGGCGGAAATCGTATTTTTTCATACCCCATAGGATCCATGTATGCTATATATGGTAACATGGATCCCATCAATATACCCCAATATTTAGCATATATACCAGCACCATGGATCGTATGGGTACTAGAAGCTGACATTCAAACGCGTTCTATTTGGTGACTTCACCTCTCTTAACAGTGGTCCAATGTCTGGTCATCTTTCCCCAGTGTCGACAGAACAATGACCAAATCATCCATATTAGCACCATAATATTCATATTCATGTATTATAGATCGTATATAGATAATGTAAATATGGTTACCAAACTAAAAAACATAATCACTCACAATAACTATCGTGCAAAACATCTGTTGTATAATGTTTAAATCCATATGTCCCCTCTGGTTCCCTTTCCGACCTTTCCTCCCTGGTAAGTTCTGGTCGGTCCAAAACATGCCATTGCTCACAGCTCCTTCATGTGCCTTGATACCGAGGTGGTTAGGTGTTCCACCTGCCAAAGGGCAGTAGTTTGTTGCTACCCTCTGGTAAACATACAAAAAACTATTGAAAATAGCCAGTTACGGTTGATTTACCTATATATCATGGGGATTTTCCATAGCTATGTAAATGTTTACCAAAGGGTATCCCCCGTGCCTTGCAAGTTCAACAATTTCCTCATTGAAAATTCATATACTCAATATATAATCTGTTTGGTATACCATCTACCATGATTCACCAATGGTATTGGTGAATAACAGCCAAGCAGTCAGAATTCAGGAGCCCATGTCTTCTTCCGTTAAATGAAATCCCCAATTTCGAGTGCCACGTTAAGCTATAAATCAATTGAATCCTTCCTATCACTTGAAACATGATAATTGATTCCCCAATGGAACAACTGAACATGTCGTTCAAACATGGTAGTACCCTCTAGCAATTTAATTTGATCTAGCCATGGACAATCACAATTTTTAAAACCGGTGCATCATCGAACTAAATGAACAGAATGGGCCATGGCTTCCAGAATGCTAAATTGCCACATGGTATATTCCCATTGTATCCCATTACACATCATCATACATTATCCCAATTTACTATCCCAATTATCCCAATGATATCCCTATGCACTATGCACTCATCTTTTGGCTGGCTATATCCTATGGAACCACCAAACTGATCCAAAATGAACCTTCAGCCAATGATTCCCTCGCAAAATGCGAAATTACCAGAGGCTATTTCATTCCCTCAAGCTGGAAACTCAAGGGAGCCCCAATGGACGGCATAGAGTTGGTCATCCCAATGGAGTTGATGTAATGTTAACATTGTAATTCATGGTCATCCCAATGAATGACTTATATCATAGTCAAAAATCACAGACATAATTTATAGTTATACCATAGTTATATCATATACAATAGTTATATCATGGTTATACCATATATCAGAGTCAAAAATCAAAGTGATATCATAGTTATATCATAGTTATACCATCGATTTATATTTTCCATAGTTTTCTGTATGCGTACCAGAGGGTATATCCCCATTATAGTTATATTTATAGTTATATTTATAGTTATATCTAAAGTTATACCATAGTTATATCATATGCCATAGCTATATCACGGTTATACCATATACCATAGCTATATATCATAGTTATATCATAGTTATATATATCATATACCATAGCTATATCATGGTTATACCATATACCATAGCTATATATCATAGTTATATCATAGTTATATATATATATATATATATCATATACCATAGCTATATCATGGTTGTACCATATATCAGAGTCAAAAATCATAGTGATATCATAATTATTTCATAGTTATACCATAGTTATATCATATACCATAGTTATATCATATACCATAGTTATATCATATACCATAGCTATATCATGGTTATAGCACTTCTATCCCAATCAAAGTCCCAACAATTTTCAGCGCCTCCGAGGCCAGTACCGTCATCTTTTGCACCGTGGGCTCCACCAGCTCCTGCGACAAGGGATGGGATGGGACAGCGACACGTCCAGCTCGAAGGAAAATGGGGACATAGCGACAGAGTGACATAGCTAGAGTTAGTGTATCCCAATTATAAACTATTGGGGGTTTAGTATTAGGGGGAGAGGATTAATCAGGTAAAAATCAAGGCATCCAGGAATCCCATTAATGTATTATATTGTATTATATTAATATTATATTATAATATTACCCACTATGTCCCACTATTGATAGTGATTCTGAAAAACAAAGGGGCTTCTGGATAATTATCCCACATTATCCCACTATTATAATGAAAAGCTGGAGCGTACCCTTGAGCTGGAGCGGGATTGTGAAAAGATGTGAAAAGTCCCTTTCGACTATATCACGACTATATGTCACATGGGGATCATTATCATGTAATATATTCTCATATGATATAAAGTATACTGGTTGGTGGTTTCAACCCCACTGAAAAATATGAGTCAATTGGGATGATGAAATTCCCAATATATGGAAAATATAATTCATGTTCCAAACCACCAACCAGTATAGTTAGTGTATCCCAATTATATCCCAATCATAGCTATAGTTAGGTGAATCTTGGAATGTTAGAATAGCTAGAGTAGATGAATGTTAGATGAATGTTCGATGGGCTAACCACTTAGATCATCGACCCACCAGGTGCATTTGAAAGATGAAAAAACCTGGAATGAAAACGGCATCCCAATACCGAAACGTGTAACAAAGGATGGTAAACAGGTCATGTTTCCCACAGATTTTCCAGGTTCCAAACTCTTTGATCTTTTTGGCGTTGTTATAATTACATGGGATAGTGTTTCGGTGTCTACCTGTACTACCTATCCATCCAATTTCGATAAGCTTGCAATCCAACCGGAATCCAACCCACATAACAAAACACAGATTGGTAGATTAGATATGATATATTTGATCTAATTGCTAATCTGGAATTGGGAAAATTGAATGATTTAGTAATTCTGAATTATAGTGATTCCCGAATTGGAATAGCCAATATATCATTGTAATATCTTCCCCTCATATTACGTTCCAATGGTAGGAAAATTGAAAGTACTCTTACAAAGAAATGGGTAGTTGATATGTTGGTGAAGAATGGTTCCTCCATTGGAACTTCAAATACCATTTGGGGTGATTCCCTGTACTCGTTATTTACGGTGAGGTATTGTGCGGTCAGCATATTTCTGGAGATGGCCTTGCAATGAATGAGTCTTTGCAACATTTTGCGAGGTGTTGTTTCGCGAACTTCCAAAAACTAGACGACGGATGGCCCGAGAGCGTAGAGGAGCAGAGTCTTCTGTTGTTAGTATGGAGAAACGCTTTTTACACACAGGCTCTTTTACACACAGACGCTTTTACACACAGACGCTTTTTTAAAAGCAGGCGCTTTTACACACAGACGCTTTTACAAACAGACGCTTTTACACACAGACCCTTTTACACACAGACGCTTTTACACACAGACGCTTTTACACACAGACGCTTTTTACACACAGGCTCTTTTACACACAGAGGCTTTTACACACACACGCTTTACACACAGACGCTGTTTACCACAGACGCTTTTACACACAGACGCTTTTACACACAAACACTTTGACACAAACACTTTTACACACAGACGCTTTTCCACACAGACGCTTTTACACACAGACGCTTTTTACACACAGACGCTTTTTACACACAGACGCTTTGACACACAAACACATTTACACACAGACCCTTTTACACACAGACGCTTTTACACACAGACGCTTTTTTACACACAGAGACTTTTACACACACAGACGCTTTTACACACAGAAGCTTTTACACACAGACGCTTTTACACACAGACACTTTTACACACAGACGCTTTTACACCCAGACGCTTTTACACACAGACGCTTTTTACACACAGGGGCTTTTACACACAGAAGCTTTTACACACAGACGCTTTTACACACAGACCCTTTTACACACAGACGCTTTTACCCACAGACGCTTTCTACACACAGGGGCTTTTACACACAGACGCTTTTACACACAGACACTTTTACACACAGACGCTTTTACACACAGACGCTTTTGCACACAGACACTTTTACACAGACACTTTTACACACAAACACTTTCACACAAACGCTTTTACACACAGACGCTTTTACACACAGACACTTTTACACACAGACTCCTTTACACACAGACGCTTTTACACAAAGAAGCTGTTACACACAGAAGCTTTTACACACAGACGCTCTTACACAGAAGCTTTTACACACAGACTCCTTTACACACAGGCGCTTTTACACACAGAAGCTTTTACACACAGACACTTTTACACACAGACGCTCTTACACACAGAAGCTTTTACACAGAGACTTTTACACACAGACACTTTTACCCACAGAAGCTTTTACACACACACACGCACACACACACACAAACGCTTTTCTTTTACACACACACACAGAGGCTTTTACACACAGACGCTTGCACAGAGACTTTTACACACAGACGCTTTTACACACAAACACTTTCACACACAGAGGCTTTTACACACAGAAGCCTTTACACAGAGACTCCTTTACACACAGACGCTTTTACACACAGAAGCTTGTACACACAGAAGCTTTTACACCCAGACGCTTTTACACACAGACACTCTTACACACAGACGTTTTTACACACAAACGCTTTTACACACAGACACTTTTACGACACTTTTACACACAGACGCTTTTACACACAGACGCTTTTACACGCAGATGCTTTTTACACACGTACACAGGCTTTCACACACAAATGCTTTTACACACAGACGCTTTTACAGACAGACGCTTTTACACACGAACACTTCAAGACAAAGACGCTTTTACACACAGACACTTTTGCACACAGACGCTTATACACACAGATGCTTTTACACACAGACACTTTTACACACAGAGGCTTTTACACACAGAGGCTTTTACACACAGACACTTTTACACAGACGAAAGCGTTGCGATTGACACTTTAAAATTGCAATTTTTCCTCAGTTTTTGACGTCCAACGTCCATTTCGTGCGTAAGGGTTGCGATTGACACCTCAAAATCGCATTTTTTCCTCAGTTTTTGACGTCCAACGTCCATTTCGTGCGTAAGGGTTGCGATTGACCAAGTAAAATCGCAATTTATCCTCAGTTTTTGACGTCCAACGTCCATTTCGTGCGTAAGGGTTGCGATTGACACCTCAAAATCGCATTTTTTCCTCAGTTTTTGACGTCCAACGTCCATTTCGTGCGAAAGGGTTGCGCGCGACGCATCAAAGTCGCAATTTTTCCTCAGTTTTTGACGTCCAACGTCAATTTCGTGCGAAAGGGTTGCGATGGACACAATTTTTCCTCAGTTTTTGACGTCCAACGTCCATTTCGTGCGAAAGGGTTGCGATGGACACCTCAAAGTCGCAATTTTTCCTCAGTTTTTGACGTCCAACGTCCATTTTGTGTGAAAGGGTTGCGATGGACGCTTCAAAATCGCAATTTTACCTAGGTTTTGGACGTCCAACGTCCATTTCGTGCGAAAGGGTTGCGTTTCGTGGCGCTCCGGCGGCACTGCCCCCGCCTTAAGAGAGAATAGAAGAAGAGCGAGAGGAGATCTGCAGATGTGAAGGTGTGAAGATGTAGATCTGCAGATGTGAGGGTGTGAAGATCTAGATCTGCAGGTGTGAGGGTGTGAAGATCTAGATCTGCAGGTGTGAGGGTGTGAAGATCTAGATCTGCAGGTGTGAGGGTGTGAAGATGTAGATCTGCAGATGTCAGGGTGTGAAGATCTAGATCTGCAGGTGTGAGGGTGTGAAGATCTAGATCTGTAGGTGTGAGGGTGTGAAGATCTAGATCTGCAGGTGTGAGGGTGTGAAGATGTAGATCTGCAGATGTCAGGGTGTGAAGATGTAGATCTGCAGATGTGAGGGTGTGAAGATCTAGATCTGCAGGTGTGAAGGTGTGAAGATCTAGAGCAGGTGTGAGGGTGTGAAGATGTAGATCAGCAGATGTGAGGGTGTGAAGATGTAGATCAGCAGATGTGAAGGTGTGAAGATGTAGATCAGCAGATGTGAAGGTGTGAAGATGTAGATCAGCAGATGTGAAGGTGTGAAGATGTAGATCAGCAGATGTGAAGGTGTGAAGATGTAGATCAGCAGATGTGAAGGTGTGAAGATGTAGATCAGCAGATGTGAAGGTGTGAAGATGTAGTATAACGGCTGCTTTTTTACGAAGAACCCTTCGCAGGCGCTCTCGGGAAAAACTGCAAAGAAGTGCAACCTCAATGTTCACATTCTATATATACTAAATGCCAAGGGGTCGAGTGATTCAAGATTAATTTGTGGTTCATCGGCCTTCGGTCAACTCTAGTCGGCGTGGCTGCATGCCACGACCGATGAAGATGATGCGGTTTTCGCGCTTCTCCGTCTTACCCCAGGGTTCAGTAAAGCCCTGGTTTCTGAGCATGTGCACGCATTGCAGAACGAACTTCCGATCGCTGCCAGCGATATTCAACACTGCCTTCACCCGCAAAAAGTCCTTGGCTGTTTCTTCTTTATCCAAATAGCGATCCAAAAACTGCTGGAAGGCAAACATCATGACTTGACCTTCGCAACGAACACCCACATTGGACACCGACTTGTCCATCTTGGGAGTGTAGAACTGGCGGAACTCACTTTCATCCATGTACTGTTCCTCTAAGACCTTGTCCAAATTGAAGCATCCCACATTGAAGAGCTTCGCCATGGGCGCTTTGGCCTGCTGGCAAGGGATGATCTCGGCTGCGCCATTCAGTTCTTTGATGCGTTTCTTCACCTGGTCCAGCTGCATCCTGGTGGAGTCACTGGCCGCCACCACCAGCAGCAGCAGCATCATCATCATCATCATCCTCATCTTCATCTGTCATCATCATCATCGATTGCAAGTCTATGAGCAATATATAAACATCAACTAGTCATGTTTTTTACAATAAATTCAATGCTGGTGATCCTTACCAGTGTTCTCCCCATCATTGAAACCACAACTTCATCATGCACACTCTTCTTGCTTGCAAGCATCATTTCAAGTAGACATAAATAAACATCATAAACATCCCATAAACATACACACAAAATTGTACCTACCGACCTACCTGCCTACCTACCTGCATACCTCCCCACCCGCATGTTTCCCTGCTTAACATACATATTAATACACATATAATCACATGTATAATAATAATAATACATAATTAATAATTAATAATTAATAATAATAATAATAATTAGTAATTAATAATAATAATATTGTAAATATATATATATAGTATTCTACAGCTATGTATTGATGTTTTTTTCTCATCCCAGTTTTTTGTTTTTCCAGGATTCTGATCCACCAGGTCGATCTTGTTCAACAAGACGGTGCTGGAAAAGGCGATCTGCGCGCAGGCCGTGCCCTTCGAGACGTCCCCTTTGGATTCATCCAACTTCTCCAAGCCGTGCAGGGCGTCCACCAGCGCCACCACGTTGTCCACCATGAAGCTGCGCTGCACCTTTAACGAGAACGGGGAGGCTTGGAGCCTTCCAGGAAAAAGCTGGAAAATACAGAACACCTCTGGGAAAATACGCAAAAGTATGGAACATGTTTTGAGAAAGAAGGCAAAGTGTGTAAAAAGGATGGATTTTTTCCTGATTCATCCCAGATGTGAACTGTTGTTTTTCGTCTGACCCACCCACTCATGTAGCTATCTATCGTGTGAATCGAATCAATTTATTCATCCAGATATTTCCCATTGTAGATAAGACAATAGATGCCGGCGACTGAGATATCAACTCTCTACCGTCATTATATAATCATGTATCATCATTTCACCGAATGTTTTTCGTTGATAAACACAATCAGATGTGGCAAAAGATGATGATAAATGAGATCAACCATACATCATTCACCATAAGTGATATAATATCATATTTCAGCATTTCGTCAAAATCATAACCAATATTTGGTATGTATATATCTATATATATATATTCAATGGGCATTTCGTCAAGTTCAACCATATACCAACCATGAATTCCCCATCCTTTTGCCATCGTCGACCCACCTCCGGATCCACGATGAAGGTTTGTACCACCGGGGCCGGATCCGCCATGCCCGTGAGCTCGATCAAGACACCATCCAGCTGCACCTGCACCAGGGGATGTGCATACTTCCAATGACCGTAGTTAAAAATCAGACGAACATGGATACCTGGTGGGAGAGTTCATGGGAGACACTTTTGTTGTCTTTTATCACCGACTTCATATGAAAAATAGAGTCTGAACATGATTTAAAATGACAATTTTGATGGACAGTGATGACAAGATGGGAAAAATATGATCACCACTGGATGGAATAAGATGCACTAGGGTTTTCTCATCATTCTCAGATTCAGGAGAACTTGGCCGTATGAGAACCAGTCAGTAGATATTTAGTCAAAGATTCTGGTGACAAGCTCGTAAGCTAGTACAGCTACCCCCTGGTAATTTGATGTAGCTACCAAAAGTCACCATTTTGAATAGATAAAGCATCATAATTCATCTATTAATGGGCCAAATAGTACTTTTTGGGATCAACAACTATTTTCGTGGAAAGAAAACTCAATATATATATATATTTACACTATCTCAGTCTCTCAGTATCCCATTTCTTGGGTACTGTAACCAATTTTGAAGAAACTTCATTCCACCTGTCCACTGGCGAATCGTTTGCCAATGTTGTGCAAGGTTTGGATCAGATCACCTCGCACAGTGCAGCAAATGCAGCCATTGTCCAACAAGACCAGCTCTTCCGCCATGTCTTGATGCTTCCTGGGGCGAAACATCAAAAATAGCTGGGTTTGAAGTAGAAAATAGGGTATATTCCCAATTATAGCCATTTAATAGGGATAATGATCATTAACCATTGGGTTTAGGGGTACATTATTTTCAGACACACCCAGCTGGATTTGAAGCAGAGATCTACCCTAACGGCCCTAACGTGGCTGGAAAATCCTCCAGAAATAATTCTTTTTGAGTTGAGCGAAGGAAAAAACCTCTATGGCTCGGGGATTTCCAGTATCCAACTGGTTCTGATTCTTCCCTAAATATGGTATCCAACTTTCCAATACTTCTGGGGATGGAAATGATGGAAATGATGGAAATGATGGAAATGATGGAAATGATGGAAATGATGAAAATGATGAAAATGATGGAATATCAAAACAATGAATCCAAATAAAATGCTCCGGAGAAAAAAAATCACTGCTCAGTTTCTGTTCCACCAAGGCATCATCAATGCTCACC